TTATTTTAATATTGGTTAAATTGTATAAAATGTTCCTCAATTTTATGTTATATTTAAATGACTTCTTTAACCTTTAGGCCATACATGGGTCTTAATTTTGATGGATGGGGAATGGGAATGGGAAATTGGGATAAGGAGTGGGATTGAATTTTAAAATTATATTGGGTATGGAGTAATGTTTGGACAGAATAATTGCATTAATTTTATTTTTAAATTATTATAAGCTGTCAAAAGACTAGAAGAACTTCGTTATTAGAAAAACCCTTGTTATTTGGTGGGAAGGGAGCACATTTTGGCATGAAGAATCCCAATCTCAGGATTAAATTTTGATTACCACCTTCCTCATGGTATTTGCCCAATCCCAAGTAATAAGAACTATCTACCATACTAAATATTCATTTAGTGAATTTTCTCAATTTCAATTGCAATTCCTACCTTGGCCTTAAAACTTTGCAATGAACCTTTCTGAAGTCTTACATTTATGTATATAACTCTTGTGCTATTAGTTTTATTCATTATTTATATGCAAATAGCTTAAAGTTTAAATGGCATGTATGCATATGACTCAAACTTTGAAAGGGTTATGTATATACACAAAAATAATGTTTAAAAAGGTATAAAATTGATGGTTTGGGGTTATCTGCATAGCTTGAAAGGGTAGAGAGTTTTATTATTAGAAGTTTAAAAAATTAAGGAGCTTATCTGTACATAATTCTGAGTTAGGCTAGCTTTAATATTTGAAACTCGTTACGCTGTCTTTCTCTCTGAATACGTACTTTTCTAATCTCCTATTTCACGCACAAAAAAAACAATGTGATTACATTTAATTTTTCTTTTAAGTTGGCATTGACTGATGTCAACGAACTCTATACATTTCAAAACTTGATGTAAGACTTTCTTAAACTTCCATTGTCTTCATAAAAGAACCACTTCTACATTAATTAATGAATGTTGAAGCTGAGATGTCAGTCACTCTTCCATAAACATTTTAGAAGCCACAATGCCATTTATTAATTCAAAGATTTTTTTTTCACTTAAATGTGCCACGTGTCAATAAAACTAGCCTTTCTATAACCTCTCACTCATAAAGCTTGTCAATATCATAAACAATTAACACTACTACAATGAAGACATTTTACTTTTGTTTTGGATGACCTTTTACTTCTTATATTTGTCACTTATTTTCAAAGTACTCATCCACCTATGATCCATTGTGTTAGTACTTAATTCAAGACTAAATTGAACAAGGAATTTTGAACAATTTAAGACTAATTCAACTCAATTTAAGAAAAAAACCCTAAAACAATTCAAAACTAATGATGACAATTTAATACAATTCAGTGAAATTCCAACAAAATCAAACCAATTTAAGACTAAATTCAACAAGCAATTTTGAATAATTTATGACTAAATTCACTAGTTTAATCTAATTCAGCTCAATCTTAATAAAAATAAAACAATTAGCAAATCCAATTCCAACAAATTCAAACCAATTCAACACTAATTTTAGCACTTTAATCTAATCCAACTCAATGCTAACCAAAATAATGCAAATTCAAGACTAATGATAACAATTTTATCCAATTAATTAAGCTCAATTATTTAATCCAACAATTTAAAGCAATCCAACATATAAAAAACTTACCAAAATTTTCAACCTTACAATCCCAACCACAATTTTCAAGCTTACTCATTTTCAAAAAAATTTGCCAAAGCTTCCTTTTGAGATAACACATCCAAAAAAACATCAACTTGCTATTAAATAAACCTTTCAAGATCATAATAGCTATATTACCATTCTAATGCAATACCAACATATGAAAATTCTCTTAGACATTTTGACAAACACCTTGTGTGCATTAATATTCAAACAAGTTTAACAAATTTCTTAATCTTCAAATCTATTACCCAACCAATGTGTACAAGTTTAAAACTTTGTAAATACAATTCAAGATTCAGCAGCAACTTACACAAACCCACGTTCCATTTGCAGCACATATAGAATAACCAAAAGGAGGAAGATTGCTCTTAAACTTACCTTATTCAGTAGAGCTATCAAAGAAGGGAGAGTGTAGATGTGGCGTCAACTTAGAGGGGAGAAGAGACGACGCAGGTGAGTGTGGCTTTAACGGCGACCTTCTTTGTTTAGTGGAGTCGCCGACTTGGAGAGGGAGAATAACAGACTTGGAGGAGATGTCGTCGTCATCGTCTTGCAGAGGAGAGAAACGCTACACTGGAGACGTAGCTCCAGCAACCTTTGTTCGTTGTGGAGATGGGAAGAAGAGGCGACGGACTACGAGCATTAGTTATGGTCGCCGAGGGAAGCAGTAGAGATGGGAGGAAGAGGCGATGCAGGAATGAAAATGGGAAGGGAGGAAGATATTCGCGGGCTGCGCAGATTAACTAGGGTAATTTAAAAATAAAATAAAATCAGGCCCCTTCTCATTTGTTTTAATAAAACAGATGAGAAGGAGCCTGTTCTCCTATGTTTCATTAGTAATAGACGAGAACTTGTCGTCTGTTACTAAGAATAGACAAGAACTTCTCGTCTATTACTAATAGAACGGATGAGAAGGTCTATGTTCTCAACTGTTTTACACAACAGATGAGAACATGGAGCTTATTCTTGGCTGTTTTACTCAAACAGATAAGAATACTCACTTTTTCTCCTCCGTTTTCGTAAGCAGATATGAATGGGGGAGATACAAAGTATGTTTTCTTGTAATGTAATACCCTGAATCGTATGAAACAAAATGGGTAGCCATTGGTTAATTTTAACATTGCCTATTACTATTTTAGTTCCGTAACATATATGGAAGCTAGTTGGGGCAGAGGACTGCGTGCTAAATATATCATCTTAATATACTTTATCTCTTATATATACTAATTTATCTAATTTGTAAACTGATATATAATCTAAACTATTTTAAGAAAATCAGATCACATTTATTATAATCAACTAATTTATTTTATTTATTTATTCTATATATCCAATTAGAATTATATTCTCCTGAGTTACTTGGTATGAGTTTTGGTGCTAAACACATTATATTGATGAGTACTAACACCACCTAGATCTAATTTAGATAGTTTGAATTTAGTTTTTTTTCCCACTTTTATTCTTTTAAAAAATTATTTAAATATGTATAGAATTTAAAATCAAAATATAATATCTTAATTGTCAGTTTTTCAAAAAAAAATATTTGAAAATAAAAATAGATTTATGAACTGTTGAAATTGTTAAATAGTTGATATTTCCCTATAACGATGAGCACTGAAATGAAACCGGTTCCTGAGTTAGTTTGAGTCTTGTTGCCACGGATGGATGCATGATGAAGAGGATGCCATGGATGTTGCTCTCTCGCACGCTTCTTCTTCTTCAGTGAAGTGGAGGGTTTGCTTCTGGTATGTGGTGCGATTTATTAGTGCAGAGCAACTTAGGTTTGCGATTAGGGGGAAGAAGGCATAGCAAATTGAATGGGGAAAGAGCTTCCATGTTTGCAGCAGCACTCAACGTAGTGTTATTTTACACCCGGCAGGCCTTGTGGGGCTACCTCATTAACTTAACACAACACGTACTCCCTCCTTGTCAACCGTTAGTTATCCCAGCAGCAATGTCATTCGTTATGTAGGGATAAGGCTCCGGGGTTAAAGTTGGCATTGATATGTTTGTGTGCGCGCTTGATTGTATTATACTCCTCTTATTTATAAATTATTTCTAATATATTTCATACAGATTAAAATTTTTTTTGAAATTTATTAACTTTCATTTAAAATTCAACTTTCCAATTTTATTCTTATTTAATGTATACTATAACTTATGTAAATAAAATCAATACAATGATAAATAAAGGGTAAATTATACATCTGTACAAAAAAATTTTCTCAATGTCTTATAAATATAACAAAAAAAATTTTCTTTTTCTGCCCTATAAATAGGGGTAGAAGAGTATATTAAAAATAAACCATGTACTCCCTCTTTTTTTTTTTTTATTATAAGATTCAAATTTTTGAATTAGTATATTTCTTTTTATAAGATCCACTTTGAGTTGGTATAAACATTGAATGCATTTTCATTCATTTTACTTTTAATTAATATATTCTCTTATCATCTTTTTCCCCCATATATTCTCTCTCGTATTTTTTCTTACATTCACCTATCCACTTATAAATACAGGCATATTACAAAAAAAAATTTCTTATATATTTATTACTTTTAGCTATATATTTTTAACATCTCTTTAAACCACACAATTTTCTAGATATTTATTACTTTTCTAATTTGTCGCAGATTTTTGGTCTGCCAATAAGATAAATTTTGTGGGAGTGGTTTGGTTTTTTTTTTTTTTTTATAAAATATATTTTAGTTTTGTCTAAGTATTTAATGAGTTATTTTCAATGTTTACCATCACATATTCTCTTTTCTTTTTATTCATTTACTACATCTTTTACCTATTCTATTCATTAATAAGAATATATTTGGAAAAAAATTACATACCTTAATATTTATTATTTTAAAAGGATTTTAACTGATTTCTTTATGAATGTAAATTTGTTAAATTTATTGTCTATTTTAAACAGGAGGAAGTATGTTAAAAGTACTACCTCTTATATTACAAACAACTAGATCTTATCCTAGATCTTACAAATTACAAACTACAAAGTAGATATTGTATTTTAGTGCAAATTACATTACGAGCTAGATCTTATATTTAGAACTAAAGGTGGTATATAATATCACAAAACACAATATTGACATTATAACACAGTCTAGGTTTTGTAGTTTTGCACATTTTTTTTTTTAAAACTTTCTTAAATACGAGGTTGTGAATTCGGACCATGTATGAAAAATATAACAGAGTACGTAAGTAATGACAAAAAGAGATAATGACATTATAAAACAAATAAAATTTTAAAAAAGAAACAAACTGTTACGAAGAAGGGGAAGGGGAAAAAGAAAAATGTGGATACAAGAACTCATTATATTGTATTAATTATACCACAAACTACATGTCAGCGATCCACATAATCATTGATCAAGATATGTAACCAACTTGAACCTTGAAACACAGAATGAATATTCCCTAGAGGGAATACTTTTTCTGAAATTATTCCTTAGACAAATATACGACTCGATATTGATCAAATCACTTACTATAACTGTTCTTTTTTTCTTTTTTCTTTTTTGTTCAGCAAGTAGGGAAGGGAATTCCACAAGAGGAAACAACCTTCTTGGCCCCAGGAGAGTTAACATACTGCCTCAGACTAGGGTTCTTAAGATACCCACACAGACATGGCTTCTGCTCCTTTAGCTTCTGGCAGCACTCGCTCGACGGCGGAGCCGACGACGATATCGCTCCCATGCATGAACTCAGAGCCGCCGGACTGCATGTCACTGCCTCCGCCATGTGTGGCAGCTCCACCGCCACAAAGACTGTCAGAACCACCATCACCACCAGGCTCACACCCATCTTCTTCATCGCCATTACTCCTGAACAGTGCAAAAGTCAGAATTTCATAATGAGGGAGATCAAGATTAAAAGAGTATATACAATATAAAGTTTTCATAAATTTTGGAGTTGGGAGATACATATAACACATGTATAATGCAAAGAGAAACTTAAAAACTTTGGGGCCATAGCCTCTGCTAGTACCCTTACCCACCTTTTTGTGTTGCTTACACGCACACTTTGTTTTTGGTCTTTTGTATGCTGATGAAGTAGTGAAGATAGGAGTGATCTATGGCAGTTTATATAGAAATACGCATGATGGGTATGGGGTTTGAATTTGGTGCTTGAAGATGGAGAGGGAGAATTGGTTGCAATAAAGAGAAGAGGTCCCACATCGAGAAAATTAAAGCGACATTAAATTAAGTGTACAGCGATTAAATATAAGCAGTTGTGGGTTGATAATGTGCCTATTTGGAAACGTGTTTGAGGAGGGAAAAAGTAATTTATAGGTGTGGCAAATGAGTTTGTAAATTTAAAAGTTGTTTGCCACAGTTTTTGGCCAAACTACCTTATGAGTTAAAAATTACTTTTTTAAGTGTGATTGTAAAAGTACTTAAAACTTACTTATGACTTATACAAAAGCAGTTTTTTAAAATTAAAAGACATGTTTACCCTTATATTTATGATTTTTTTTGTTTTTCTATATATTCTTTGTGCTTCCCAATCAATTTTTGGTTATTTATTTTTAATATTCTTTTAAGAGAAAATAATTTTTAACAGTTTTTATAATATTTTTTATTTTTAATATTATTTTTCATTTTATGCCTACATAAATTATGTAGAGTATATCATCCAATTAATTATGTAATATTATTTGGTTCAAAAATTTTCACATTATTATGATTTCTTATTTAAATATATTTTATTCATTAAACATAACTTCTTCATATTATAATAATTTAAATTTATTATATTTTATAAATTCATATTTTTAATCATTTTTTATTATTTAATAAAAGTCATACCAACAAACTAACCTTACTTATTCAATTATAATCTAAATAATTTTTTTACTTTACAAACTAATTTTTATAAAACTCAATCCAAACATAAATTATAGTACCCAATTTAACTTTTACTTAATTTAACTTTTATAAAAATTAGATTGAGAATAAGTTACTTATCTTCCACTAATCTAAACGGACCTAGTAGCGATATCCATAATGGCGTGGTTGGTGGCCATTTTTTGCTTATCCAAGTTCTAAGGCCATGGTGGCAAAATTAGGTTTGCTTTTATAAGGATTATAATGTTGCCACTGACCACCTACCACTTGCCAACCACAATTTAATTGAGAGCGAGGGGCCCCATGTATGATTTAAAGTGACAATATTTAAATTTGATGATGATTCCCAATATTTTATTATGTTTTCATGCATCATTTCATTTAAAAAGGAGTAATCTTGGTGTCACTTAAGGTAAACTGCGTACTAGTTACTTATTCCATCTTCTCTACAATACGAGTCATTTTCACCAATTCATCAAGAGGTTTAGATTTAAGTTAATTCATTAAATGTGTTTGAAATTTTTTTCAATTTACCCATATTAAATGAGGTTGTGAAGGAGATAGAAAAATACAAAAAATTACATTAAAGCATTAATTACAATGACAAAATTAACAAATAAATATTAATTACTTTTCAAATGAGTAATTTTAGACCAAGTCATTCTTCTGACAGCGATTTATATTATAGATTGGAGGGAGCACAAAAAATCAAGGAGAATTAGAAGTGGATAGGGCAAGATTAGTTAGAGTTGAGTGGATAGGGCTTATTTTTTATGGTTTTATAAAAACGCAGAGTTTCAAGTTTTGGTGAAATTTTAGTGCTAAAGATTCATTTCAACTAACTTTTTGAGTTTCAGGTTCGTCTCTATAAGAAAGAAGGGGCCAAAAGAGAGGCGGAGAAGCTCGGGATTAATGGAGAATCAAGGGTTTTGCCCAAGATTATTCCATTTAAACTCTTCTTCGTTTTATCTTGATGCCGATGTATATTGCTTGGATTTGCTATCATTAGATCCTTGTGTGGCTAGTTTTGCTTTATAACCTAAGGTAGTTAAGAACTAATTCATGGATTATTAGAGCATATTAGAACCATTTGATTGTGCTTAATATTATCTTTGTTTTTCTCAGTCTTGGAATTGAATTTCTTGTCTATTTAACACTTGGCTAATACGAACTTGGGGAATTCACTTTAGACTTGGAAAAGGAAACCTCGTTTGGACCATTGGCTTGGGTAGTGTGAGATTAGAAGTTATTCTAATTTGCCATTAGGATAGGAACATAACTATTGGACCCATATAGTCTTATTAGAGTGGAAATGAATTATTACTGCCTCTTGCGTAGCTATGCTAGGAATGACATTTTTAACTTGAGAAAGGGGTGTAAGTGATTCAAAAGATGCTTACATCTGTAAATACTCTAAATTAGCAAACTAATTTTGAGTACATTTAATTATAGTGCAATTATGGTTGTTGAAACAATAGATTTAGAATTTTTATTTACTTTGAATTGCAATTCGATAATTCTCATTTAAATTGTGTCTTACTCAAATGTGAAAGTGTAAAGTTGATGATCAACTAGGTTACTGATAGTAGGTCCTCGAGGGAACAATGCAGCTGTGAACTTTGGAGGGCAGTTTTATCACCTCGCATGAGATCGATCAAATGGAGGAACACTCAAAAGAAAAGAGTCAGACTCCTAAGGCTCCCATGTGTTTTCGGAGCCTCTTCAAACATATTGAAGGCCCAAAATATAAATATCTACAAGCACAAGGCAAATTGAACCATAACCTTGCATTTATAGGCCCAAACACAAGCAATGGTGAAGCATGTAGTTCATGAGCGTGAGTAGTTCATTAATGATTAAACGACACCTAAAACACTAAGGAATGACTCTTGGCTCATGACCTTATTTTGAAAAAATGAAAATCATAAAATAAATAGAAAAACGAACTTGAACAAAATAAATTGGACTGTAATTGGATTGGTCTTCAAGTAAATACTTTTTGTAACTCCAAGTAAGCTTTCTTTAAGCCCGTTAGGATCAAATTAAAATATCCCGCAATATTTTCATTTATCCTTTAATCATATTAACAATTATCCATCTTGATCCTTTTCAGCTTTTAGGATTAAATTAGTATTTTTTTAAGAGTCCTGATAAGTTAAAAGGTTAGATTAGAGTTAGTTTATTGTGTTATAAATATTCCCACCATGCATGCTATTTTAAGTCAAGTTGAAAATAGAGTATCATTCAGTTTTCTTTTAATCAACCGTTGCTTGTTTTGTGAGATCTTGTTGAGTGCCGTGACAAGATGCCGAAATTTCTATGAGCTTTCCTATTAGATACTCGACTCATTCTTTATCGGTTGATGTGATCCTTTTCTATGGAATCATATGTTTCATATTTTAAAGGATAACCGTGAAAATGAAAAATTAGGGTGTCCCTTTAGGCTTTGTTTGATTCGATGGAGGGGAGTGGAAGTAAAAGGAGGTTATGAGTGTTATTTGATTGGAGGGAAAGGAAGGAGAGGAAAGATTTCTTGTTTGGTTCAAAAAAGGAGGAAAGGGAAACTAATTGTAAAATTGACAAATGCACCTTTATTTTTTTATTTAGATTTTTTATTATTTTATTATGATATTTATATCAAAATTATTATTTTCTAATTTATGAATATAAAAAAAAGTTATCTCACATGTATAAAATATTTACATATCTATAAAATACATACATATCATGAAAATATTATATCATCATTATCAAATATATATATCATAAAAAATATATTTCTCACATTATATTAAGAAAAATAGTAAACTCATGATAAAAAATATTATATCATTACTATTAAATATCATTACGCTGCTTTCCTGATATAGATATGAATTCTTTAAAAAGTATCAATTTATTTAAAAAATATCTTCATCCATATCGTCTAATTAGATGGTTTTGATATTATTAAAGTCTTACCATTATAAAAAAATTGCACAATATTAATTTTTTTTAGTTTAAATACATATTAATATCAAGCGTTCCACTAAACTAAAAAATAATAAATTACATTATTAACATAAAAATATCAAAAACTACAAATTATTAGCAAACTATTCATGACATCTAAATCACTAAATATTAAAAGTCCCTAAATGATGACCAAACTAAATATTTGCTAAGTCAATTTCCTAGGTCATTAATAATTTCTATGATCAAATCCTTCCGTCCAATAAGGAGACATTCAACAAATGTTCTTAGTAGCCCATCATTACCTATGAGAGCTTTATAGATATTGACAATATAGATTGTCGCGACGCCACATTCTTTAACCATGTCTCATACCTGTTCGCTTGAAAATTGTGGAAGCTTTTTAGTAGTATCTCTCATTATTTGATTTGCATCTTTCATAACTTGTGCAACCCCAAAGATAACATCCTTTATCCCATCTAGGTCAGAGTCTTTTTCTTTATTTGAATTCCCTTTTTGCTTCTTTTTAGATGAACCACTTGTAACTCCAATTGAGGTATCTTGATTGATACTATTATCAAGTGCTTCAAAATGCTCTATGTTAACATTATGCTGGAAAGTAACATTATCAATGTTGTTGATTGTATCATTGAAGTCCTCCTCATTGATTGAGTGACGTCTCTTTCACATCACACCAGTAGTATGAGTTCCCTCCACTAAAACTCTATTATTTCCATACAAGATTACCACCTTGTCATAGTTGGGGAAAGAAATATTTCTCCAATTTGTAGCTTTAGGTTTTGACTACAAAAGACATCAATAAAATAGTTAATATTAATGAATAAATAGTAGACTTAGATGTTAATTAGAATTCTCTACAGTTAAAGTTAAGGTAAACTAACCTCAATAAGTTGATCCCAAACTTGATCTTTTGCCTCCCACAATTGGATTGATAGTTCCAAGCAAGCCCACTTAATCCAGTTTTAAAACTATCATAAATTTTAGAGGAATATTTTTAATATTTTCACTTGTTCTTAATCTTCTCTTTGTCTATTTCAATATCAAGTAAAGCACTCATCACTTTCACAATATTCTCACATGTAGTGATTGTTAATGTGCCATTTACTTTGTTGCCACAATTATATTGTTCCATGAAAGCATCAATAAGATAGTCATCCATAGCTCTTGTCCAATTCAAACATTGCTTATTATTGTTTGATTTTAATGGCATTCTATTACAAATGCAAGAAAACAATACAGGAAACAAAAGTTAGTATAA